GAAAGCTGCCGGCAGCATCATCCCACAATTTCGATTCGCCCTTTCGACGGCTGTCAACGCAAGGCAAACCCTAAAGTGAAAATTGTGATGCATATGCCAGCAGCACACACGCCGCATTTCAACCACACATAATTGGTGAGTAATAAATGTAGATGTGTGTGTATGTGTGTGTAGCTGTAGATTGTGAGATTTATTTGATTTATTCAACAATTTTCCATATTTGATCGACTTGTGTCCAACTCCAAAGATTCCTTTGGATTAGCATTTAATTAGCTTTTATTGACCATTAAGATTCCAGTCATGATACAATAACTGTATCCACTGACGCCGTCGCAGTCGCAGTCGCAGTCCCAGTAGCCAAGTACAACACCCACCAGCCAATGCATTGGCTTGGTCTGTGTCAGTGGCGCAACTTTCTACATTTTTTCGGGGTTTTATGATTTCGAAGCAAGTTTATGGGGCCGCGAGCGAAGTATTTATGATATTTACAACAAAAGAGCGAACGTCGAAAATTTTACTCAAATCGAAATAAAAACATACAAATTAATTAATGCCAATAAACAAGAGGCATGTTGCCGTACAGTACAAGGGCCCCCGCCCACTCCGCTCCGCGCCCATTAACGGTGGGCGCCCTACGCATTGGTGAGTTTATGACTACGAGGCCGAGGCATCTGCGCCGATGGCAGCCCGCCAGGCTGTTTGCCCGTTGAGTGATCATCCCAGATCAACCACGGGCATGGCCATGGGGATGGGCATGGAGATGGGCAGGGGCAATGGCAGCTTGGCATCCACTTCGCTGCCAATTTAATGGCGTTTTTACAACTTGAAAGATTCGTGCCTGCCACGCCGTTTTGAGCGATGATGTTGGGGGCCACTAAATGCATACGAAATGCAGCGCAACGAATGTCATTAGAACATAAAAATGATATTAATTGCATGCGAGAGTGCAGAGCCCAGAGAGAACCGGAGACCCGCGCTGGAGCCCAACTGCCACTGGCATGCAATAGAAACGTCAACATTTTGATGATGGAATTGAATGGCGCACTGCGAGATCCACTTAAATGTCTGCCTCACTCTTTGAAGGGGACGGGCCTGGCACCAATGTCGTCAACGTCGACGTCGACGTTGTCGTTGTCGTTGTTGCTGTTGCTGTTGTCGTCGCAGCCTGTAAGAGATCGCATAGCTCAGATAAATAATAAAAATTAAAAATAAATTAACACCTAGTAAAGAGGCTGCCTCTGCATTACTCGAGTCCGGGTAGGGGGCACGGGTGCGGGTACGAGTTTGGGTATAGCTATGGGCCTGTACCGCAGACAGCTCAAAAATAGCGCAAAAGTAATTAAAAACGAAAATATAAAAGCAAAACGCACACAGTCAGTGCTCCCATCTAGCAGCTCGCAGCTCGCATCTCGCATCTCACATCTCAGTTTCTCTCCCGCCATAAAAAATATGTTTGTCTATATTGGATTCAACAAGCGAAACGTCGCCGCCATCGCAGCCAGCGCAGATCAAAGGCCCGGTCGGACAGGCAGGCCGCTCCCGGGCAGTCTTTAGAGTGTTGCCATTATGATGATGCTAATGCAGTTGACATTTTATGCTAGGCCAGAGAATGCACCCAAACAGTCGCGTCGAGTCGAGTCGATTCGACGGGGCAGGCGAGTCACTGCGAGCCGAATGGAAGGCTCAGCCAATTGGCTGCAGTTCTGTGCGGCGAATGGCGGCCCGATAATTAAATGCAATAATATTTCAATTTAATTAGCTGGCAGCTGGTAAATACCATTGGGGCAAATGCTTAGTGCCACGCACTCTGAAAGATTCATTAGTTAAATATTTGGGCTATGCTAATGTGCTTCAATTCATTATGAGCTGATAATGACAATTTTATGATCACACCAAATGGCTTTCATAATGACACCTGTTTCGGAATTAGCCAACATCGAGATCTATTTAATAACGCAACTCAATTACCATATAATTATATATAGACTGTATTTCGAGTTTTATTATTTTCTTATTTTATTCTTCTTCTTTTTTTGTACTATCTATAATGCCCATCTGAGTTATCTTTGCCTGTCTATAAAAGGCGATCCATAGCCTAGTTATATCTAAAGCAAAGCGGAATTAAACTAATATTATATTCTGCATAGTTTTTGATCTCAATTTTTTATAAATTCTGTTCAATAAATTTAACATTTCGTGAATATTGCGAATAGGGAATCGCGTCGCACCTGCTGTTTAATAGCTCTCTATAAAATACTCCGAAATTTAGCTGGTTGTTTATAGCTGAAAAGCAAAGAGTATTAAAGACGAATACGATCCAGTAGTCGCTAGCGAAGATTATTGCTCTTAGATCTCGCCGAAGTATACCAGAATTTGAAGCAAAAGTTGTAAAGTGTTTATTGAATATTTACAATAGTAAAACTAGATAACATATAAAAGGCAGAAAGTGTTTCTACAGACAACCCACACACTTTCTGACTAAAATTCGCTTTGTTTTTGGATATTAATATTCAATAAATTAATTACGGCTAGCCGGTTAGCTTTATCTTATAGCTAACGTGTATATCTCGGTATTTTGGAACGTAGCGAATATAGCACGCTAAGTTTTAATTTTATTTTATTTACTATTTGTTTTATATGAAATATCTTTTTAAAACATGATATGATTCTACAGATAAAAATATATTAATTCAATTAATAATAAAAACAACAGTATTAAAAAAAAAATAGTTTAATAATATAAATTCTAAACTTAATATATTTTTATAAAGATATATGATATATGTATATAATATTATCTATAAATATATACAACAATATATGTACATGTTGTATTATTATTTTATTATCTACTATGATAACATAAATTTAGCGTTCGCTTTTAATATATGTTACAAATTTTACCTTAAGTGCAAATCAATAAATCATCAATAAATACATATTTAATAAATGCTCGAAACCTTGGATAATTGAGTTATACATATTAAATAAAGTGCTCTAATTACAGCACCCGTTTGGGATAATGATTAAGTTGTATTCAATTAGCTATTCACTTCATCTGGGTTGCTTTTCAACTCTTCAACTATTTATTCGATCAGAACGACAAGACGAAAGTTGGGAAAGTCGTCGACTAGAATGCCTTTTCCTTGGCAACTCCACAATAGTGGGAAAAGGTCAGCTTTTATGCAACTGTATGAAATTGGTTGACAATATTCGATTGACACAGAAGCATTTAATAAATATACAAATCGTTGCGAGCCCACACACACTCACACAGATACAAACGTGAACAGAGCCAGGACTCGCTCTGTGGAGCTGACACATTGACATGCGAAGCCTTTTATGCTACTTCGCACAGACAAACCTTCCATGGAGACATTTCATTGAATCCAATTATCGCTGGACATGGGATAATAATTACTGTCTGCTGTCCGCACGCACATGCTCAACGATACACCCACGCACCCACACACATACAGACACACACGCAAGCACACAAACAAGGTCGCCAGAAGCGAATAAGCGACATTGAGCACCAACTGCCGCTGGATTTGACTCCGATGGGTGGCAGGAGGTGGATGGCCTTGTTGCTTAACCATCTAAATGGCAAGTGCTTAAAGGGAGCCAGCAGCAGACAGAAGGGGCACGGCGAGGGGCAGCGAAGGGAGGGCAGAGACTGCGCCAAAGCTTACGCGAGCGCAAGCCGAAGGATGCTGCCAGGCCGCCAGCAATAAAACAAAATTGCCACATATAAAAGCAAATAATGAAGTGAAAATGGCAACAATGTGATTACACACAGTGCCACAGGATAGACCTTAATAAATTGCAAGCAGAAGCACACGCACACACACACACACACACACATACAGCGACTGAGCGTGAGAGCCAAGGGGAGAGCGAGAGCGAATGAGTACGGCAATGAAAGTGAGTAACAAATTGGCTGCTCGTGAGCAACTGCGACGGCGCTTTGCTGAAATGTTGCTCAAATGTTGCTAGCAACATGTTGCCAGCTAACTTGTTGCATGCGCCCAACTTTGCATGTGGCTGAGTGTGTGCAGATGTGTGGGTGAGTGTGTCTGTTTGTGTGCTTGCTTGTGTTTTTGTTTTCGCGTTGGTCGCCACGCGCTTGCCTGACTTCCCATAAAAAGCTTCGCATTAAGCCACCCAAAATAGTATTTAAGCACATCAATTGGCGCACGGCTCTCCCAGCAAATTGATTAAGCTGCGAAACTGAAATCGTTGATTCGAATGTGGTGATTGGGAGTTACAGTTATTATGTAAGTACTTTTAATAAGCAATATTATTAATTGTGCAGCCATAACGGCATCGTTTATCGCACATTACAGCGACAACAACAACAACACCTACTTACAACATGGGGCAGCAGCTGCGGCGTGCGCTTCATGGCAACATTTCGACGAATTAAATTGCTTGTAATGATGATGGTGACGGTGGCAGCAGTAACAATAGCGTCAGCACCCCACACAGGCACACACACACACAGGCACACACACACACACGTACACACTGAAGAGACGCCATCGGGTTAAAGAGGGCTAAATGCGTGCAATCAATGGGCGGGTGCCGGCCTTTTGTGTGTAGGTGTGAGCGAGCGCATGAGGGGTAGAAATGGGTAAATGTCAGACAGCATTTATCCATTTGTAGCCGGACGCTGGGGAGCAACAGTAGCATTTGCCGTTGGGCAGTCAGACGGCTCTATGGCATTTAAGTTGTCGATATTTAGTATGTGCATGCGTATGTATGTGTATGTGTGCTTCTCCTGATTTCCTCAGCCGATATGAGTGTGGGTGTGTGTACTGGATCACAGTTGTATCTTATCGCATATGAAATGGTTATCGAAACCCATTTAGTCTTGATCACATTTGGGCCACATGTGCACATCTCTCACATCACATCTTTCGAGCAGGAGTGAGTGAGGCAGGCCTGGAGAATAATTTGGACGATTCTCTCATTTTTGTTATCAATTCCAGTTCTCTTAATTGTCAAACATCACAACACATAATAAAAACCCAAAAAAAAAAGCAAATCAATAGAGTTTCTAGCACCAATACACTCTAGCAGATAGCAGATCTTCGCTGCCGTATTTAAGGAGCCTTTCTTGACTTATTTCCGAATCGACGCGTGGAGAACTGAAGAACAGCCCAATGGAGCACAGAGTAGGTGACGACCCAGTACACTTGCAGCCAGCCGAGGTGCAAGCCGTCAACGTTATCAATGTGCGGCACGGCGACGGGGATGGCGACGGCGAGAATGGCTGGGAGCGGCATCTGGATGATGTGCAGATGGAGGAGATGCGCCTGGCGAATCCCCAAGTGGCCATGCTGCTGGATGCCCCGCACGAGCCGCCCATTGAATTGCACCACATGCTGGAGCCGGTGAACGTGCCTGAACGGCCGCGCAAGAAACGCAGCTTTCTGACCATCTCAAAGCCCTTTCTTGTGCAGCCGGAGAGGTGCGCTCTCATTTCGAATGGCTGGCGAGCAGTGCAGTGCGTCCCCCCGGAGAAGCGCGGCGAGTGCTTCGCCAACTATCTGATCAAGCATATGAATAGCCGAAATTATCCGAATGGCGAGGGATTGCCCACGCGCTGGGGTCAGTTCTGAGCTCTCCGCTTGGCCTCTATCAGTTTCTCGCACTGTTATCAGATACTCTGAAGAAAGTTAAAACGTCAATAAACCTCTGAAAGCTAACCTAGCACAATAGCTCTCCCCATAGCTCAAACTGTCTCTGGAGCCTCTTTGCGTGCAATGAGTGAGGCCTGGCATTAGTCAGCACCATAGGCCTCGAGGCTGCTCTGAATGGCTTACAGACTGCACGATATTGCCAATTAATAAACGGCAAATTGCCAAATTGAAAACTGGCTAGCTACATGCTCACACACACACACACACACACACACCCACACAGGGACATCGACACACACCTGCTATCGCTTGATGTGCAGTGCGCTCCAATCGTCGTATGTGCGCGTGTGTGTGTGTGTGTGTGTGTGTGAAGCGAGCATAGAACAAAGACCACACCCGATGGCTGTTTCATTTACAATGTGCTTGCAGTTTATTTGCACATATGGATACAAATGACAGTAACAATGACAATACAAAAGCCGATGAGCGAACAATTGGACAAAGTGTAGCAAATAAATACAAAATTCAAAAGATAATTGCAATCAAAGCCACAAAATGTAGCCAAAAGGCTTATAAACTGTGGGCGTGTGCCATCGAGAGATATAACACACACACACACACGCATACCAACTGGGTGTACAAATCAAAAATCGAAACGGAAGGTAAACCATTTTTACATCACAATTGCAATGCACACACACACACACATACACATTAATGCAGAAAACAATGAACTTTGTAAATTACACGCATATTGCATGCGACTGACCAGCAGCAGCAACCACAACTGGTTGTAGAGCACGGTTATCAGATGACCTGTAAATTATAGGTAATGATAAATATTTGTATGATATATTACTTTAATATTTTACATATTATGATATTGAAATATTTTAAAATTATATTCAAATTTAATACTTTATCTACAATGTTTTAAACCCAAATTCATATCGTTTAAGCACCAGATGAGCTGACCTGTAAAGAGAAAGTAAATACCAAAGATCTGTATTATTTTTCCTGATTTATTTTGAAAACATATATTGACATATATTTAATTTTATTATTTTTATTATTTTTATTTTTATTTATTTACTTAAATAAAGTGTCCCATATAAATAAATAAATAATAAATAAATGTATATGAATTTATATTTTTAATTTATTCTATGTATATATATTCTTTTAAATTTGTATATTTAATCAAGTAATTTTTCTGTAACATTAATAAAATATTTAAAAGATTTCGTCCAATTTATCAGCTTGGGTGCAATCCATTATCACATAATAAAATGTCCAAGAATTTTTTACTTTAGTGTTTTTTTTTCTATATGTATAGGACAATCACCTAGTAAAAGTTAAATGATTTGCTAATTTAAAATTTATTATTTAAATATACATATAATATATATGTATAAATATAATACACACATATCAAATAATGTATTTAAATATTTTAATGGTAATGTACATTTAGTTACCTTTCCACCAATCTTCAATCACATATTTAAATTCAATTCAGCAGAAGGCCAAGACTTAAATAATAAATCTAAGCCACTCACTGCTCACTAGACGTCAAATTATCGTGGTTCGGTCTCAATTTACAGTTTGACTTTTGGTGCTATTCACTTGAAACAGTGTTGCAGAGCATCTCTAATTGAATTGAATGCAATTGATTTTCGAATTGTTTGGCAAATGTCAAACGGGTTTGGGTATTCAAAAACGGAAAACAATGAAAGTAAAGGTTGCATTTTGAAGCGCAATTATGGCTTGTCGCCCTGCAGACTTGTCGCCCCCAACCACCAGCGCCCCACCCGAGATCCCAGGCTGCCAAAACTCCCACACACCGAACTGCGTCATTCAGCAAGGGTTGATTAATTTACCAAATGCAGCAGCAATCTGGCTGTGACAGTGGTGCTTTTGGCCCGCTCACCCCGCTTCAATGCTCCGGCTGCCCGCCTCCCCCGCACAGTCATTTGTCAATGCAGAGCGGGGTGCCGGGGTGCTGAAGCGGATTATCATTGGTCGGGGGTGTTGGGGCCAGCGCCAGGGTTGTTAGCACGGCAGCAGTGAATGCATGAAATGTGATTGCTTCTGCTCGATTGTCTGTCGCTCTGCTCGTTATTTGATGGCTTTGATCCATGTGCCGCGCCCAGCTCCGACTCCCCACACACACACACCCACTCACGGACACAAGTCAATCTGAAGAGAAGGCAACTTAACTGATTCGCAGTGAGTAATTGATGTTGCCATTGCTGTCCTCTCGCATGCATTGTTAGCCAATTTCACTTAGCCGGCCATTAATCAATTAACATAATTTCAATGTCATGGACACATACTACATACCATACATATTGCCAAATGACCAGAACATTCTCTTGGCGAGCTGCAGTGCCAGCATGTCGCATGGCTTTTCAATAGAAATTGCTCAACATTACTCCGAAAGTAAATATCGAAATCCAATTCGTTAAAAACAGCTCTGAATGCCCTTACCTAACCAACTGAAGGAATTCGAGTTCAAGTATTCATAAAATTTGTATATTTATTGAAGCAAATTTGTCTGCCTGAAAGTCGATTAGAAATCATTTGTATTTATATTTCCATTTCACCTTTTCCCAGAATCGTTAACTGAATTCCTCATTCATATGATATTCGTGTAGTGTCTTTCGAGTGCGGCTTTGCTTTGCCTTTGCCTCTGCCTCTGCCTCTGCCTCTGCTGTATTTATGAAACTTTTCCACTTACAAACAGCTCACAAGTAAAATACCTACCTTGACTTTTGTGAAGCCGCCCAAGGAGACTGAAGATGGGCCAGCGTCGCTGGCGTGGGCGGAGGGGGGTTAGCTGGAGCGTCTGGTGAATCGAAGCTTAAGTCTGTGACTAGAGCCATTACCAAGTCGTGTGTGCCCCTGCAGCATATTGCACACGCACACAAACAGAGACGGGTCCAAGTACATGTCGCAAATTGCTGGAATATGTATATAAATATGTATATGTATATGTGTGTATATATGTTATATGTTAGTAAAGACGGCAGCAAAAACAGCAGCAGAGCCAGCGACAACAGCAAATGGCAAACAAAGTAAGCAACATTAAACATGCTTTTCAGCGTAAATGGCGTGGGTGGCCAGGGTGGCCTACAGAGGCCAGTGTAGCCTGTGTGGCATGTCAGCTGAATCGTCCGAGATTCGCTTCTGGAAACAGGAACATAACTAGCATAGTAAGCCGTACTATGCACGTTAGTTAACAGCGTCTGAGCTCGAATGACTCTCAGCTCCAGTCTCGGGCTGAGCCATATTTTCATCTGTTGGCAACGCAACCAGAGCTGCTCCAGTTGCCTTCAATGTTATATGCGAATACGTGCAATCTGTTGTCTATGTACGCCGTAAAGCAGTCTTAAGTCCCATTGCTGCCGCCGAGTGCATTTAAAGTAGTGAGCATTTGCATTTGTGCTGTCATCTCTCTGACGAGCAACTGAGGAGGATGCCGATGCAAGTGAACAACCGACATGCAATTTGCCGGAGGCGCATTACATGAAGATGTTAAGGTTCAAATATGTTTTCCCTTTCTTTTTTACAAGCCTTTTTATGATATCACATTACCGTTCCAACATCTGAAATACCTGTGCAATAAGCGAAATCAACAGACTTGGCTGAGCAGCAAGACGGATTAGGAGGTAAAGATAGGGATAAGGAATTTGATGTATATTTCCTTTAAGAAATGGTTGAGGTATTAACATATAATAGAGCTATAAATTTAATTTTATAATAATTATAATTAAATTTTATTTATTTATTTATTTATTTTTTATTATTTAAATATTATTCAAACCTTAATAATAATAACTTCGTTGAATACAAATCAAATTTTAGAAAAGGTTTAAGAATCACTACAATAAAAAAAATTATTTATGTGTATATTTTAATTTATTTTTTTAAGAAAATGTAGATCAAATTTAATATATAAATTAATCAGGAAATTTAATAATTATTTATTTAATATTATTCCCAACACCTGATACACATCCATCGGGCTATGAAGTATTTTTATACAGTAATAATAGGCATAGAAGTAAGAATAGTAATAAGAATATTAATATAGTATGTGTGTGTAGGAGAAGGCAGTAGGATTGTTGCTTTTATTTACAAATATAATTATAAAATTTATTATGGTAACTCGACGCTCCAAATAAAGTAATTTTTTACCATTTTAAGATCATCATAAGCTCAATGTTCTTACACTACATTTTTTTTATTTAACAGCTATAATACTCTGCGCGTAATTCTATTAAATACCGTTTATGTATTTAATCAGACTCCACGTTGTTGCGGTATTTTGAAAAGTTTACTAACCTGATTTACTTAAACAATATTATTAATTTCACTCCGCTTTACAGCCAAGCACTTGGTGGGATTTGGCAAGGATGCGCAAACAGACAACTTTCATGGCTAGATATGCAGTGAATGGATACACACACACAGACACATACACATACACATACTTACATATATCTAGATAAACAGACTCACACAAACAACTTGGTTTTGTTGTTGCTGTTGCTGCTGCTGCTGTCCATGTTGTTCAAGTAAATAGACAATAAGCCAGTGCTAACACAGAGCTCAGGTAGGGGGGGGGGGGGGGGGGGGGCAGGCATTCGCCTGAACAGCATTTTTGACTGGCAAAATGCTTATAAATATTTTACAAAATATTCGAAAACTTTAATGCTGTAGCACAAATACCAGGCAGTTATTGTTCCGCCATTGCTGTTGCCATTGCCATTGCCATTGCTATTGCCGTTGCCTGTTTTCCCACTGGGAATTCCGACTTATTGTCTTGAGTGTGCCTGGCAATGGCTATCTTCAATTATAGCATCAAATGTTTTATTTGGCTCCTAGTTGATTTGAATATTAAATTCAGAGCTGATTAAGTAAACTCTGTTCTTGGGCAGGCGAGGATTGCAAGTTGCAACTGAGAGAGGGATTTGCCTTTTGCTAATTTTAATTGAAGGCAATTTGCAAACGCTCTGCCCTAAATGAATTCGTGTATGTATTTGTGCCTTGCGAACCATTAACACA